TGTTCCTGGCTCGCCTGCTAGTGGCTGTCGCATTCTTCAATGTCTCCCTTTAGTAGCGACATGGGCTTCATACTTTGTATTGAAAAGTTTTCTCGCGCGACTGACAGCAGCTGAATGCAGGCGAAGACTGCCTTTTCTTTCCGTACATACACACATGTATGTATGCATGTACATTTATATACTTAGGACTTGGGAAAACTTTTGTTGTGCCATAACCCCACAGGCAATTTGGTCTTCGTTCCGTTTTGGATCTAATTTGTATTTATTTTACCAAATTTAATTGTTTATCCTCTCCTCTTTGTGGCTGCTTTGCACCTTCTTCTCTTTAAATACTTGTGGTGTTGGATCATAATTCAAAGATTTAAAAAGACTAAAATCATCTCGTAGTTGCTTTCTGAACCTTAAATAAGATCCGGGCTGTTAAACCACGATTCAATGCACCATTGGAAATTTTGAAAATTCTCTACTAAATGGGCTCAGAGAATGTTTGCTGGGTTCACTTTTTGTCCACTGCAGTCAATGTGCTTCTCTCGGTCTCGGTCTCGCTATGGGTATGTGTTTGGGCATTGTCCTGGTTGCCATTGTTTAATGGTCACATTAAAAATGCCTCATTGTTGGCTCTGTCGTCGTTGTCAACTTCTGACCGCGCCCTTTCCTTTGCACGACCCCATCGCCACAACTTCTTCCTATGGAACGGCGCAGGAAAGTATGCAATACAAAATGCATGGTGGCGGCGATGGACTTTTTAGTGGCTTTCATTGGATAGTGCTGCTACGTCTCCTGCCGCACTTATGTTGACTCTCGCGTTCCCACATGAATGTGTGTGCTGCACGTGTGTATATTAGCTGCACATTTAAGGCGAGCACGTATGTGTATGTGTGCTCTGCTCCTGCTGCAGAGTGGGCATTTTCAGCAAACAAAACATCTTTTCTAGCCATCGACTTTTGGTGGACTCTGCGGCAGCCGCCGCAGCCTCGAATGGGCCAGCGTCCTTCATGTGAACACAATTCCGAAAGGCAACAAGGTGCTGCACTTTCATGCAGCCTCCTCTCTACCTCTCTCCCTGCGGTATTGAACGAGCTTATTATGGCAAATGCCTTGCAGCCCTCTCCTAAGTACTCCCTCCCATACATCCATGTATTTACTCTGATTGGCTGCTGAAAAGAGGGAGAGGGAGAGTTGGAGGGAGGAAGAGAAGAAGCTTCTTTGAGTTGTTAACTGATGAGGGCGTGACTCTATTGGGTCTTATAATAGTTTGTTGTATGAGTGTGTGAGTGTGTGCTCTGTGCCTGTTGGGCAAAAATTAGATAATTGAAAATAAAAGTGGTAGAAGCTGATGGAAGCTCATACGTTTACTGAGAAAATTACAGGAATATGGCAAGTGAAAGAAACTCCCATTGAGTTCGCTGATGATCAAATAGTCAAAGTATTTCAAAACTTAGGCGCAATAATATTTATACTCATTCCAGATTATGGCTCGAAATCCACAAATCACGCAGCTAGCCGGAAGCGGCATTAAAATAAAACATTAACATCACCAAACGGTGCGTCGCCCACACAAAAATGTGATTAATTTAAAGGAGTTTCTGCAGAGGGGTGGGTGGCACACGATGTTATTCGCAGAGAGCGTCGCCTTCTAATACAAATCACAAGTAATAGCATTGTAATAAAAACAAATTTCCCCAAACGTTTGGCCTAATTGTACAATGGACAAAAAATGAAAAAGAAAAAAAAGGGCCACACCACCTCGCAACCAACCGAAAAAATTGTTCTTGGGGGGGCGTGGACCTATGGCTGGGACTGTTGCTTGCTCTGGCGACCACCGTGACACAGAAAATTTCACAGCACTGCCAAAAGCACTGAAATCCACACAAATTGTTTCGCCCAAGGAGTTGCATGTGAGTGGCGCATAAGCAGGAGTTGCTCTGCCAAGGTGCTGCACGATGGTGGAAGTTGACGTTGACGTCGTTGACTAAGTCGACGACAAAATACGAATATAAGCCCACACGTACAGTAATACGGCAACAACTACAGCAACACAAACACGATAAGGCAAAGTGCGATTTCCTCTCCCCTTTGGGTGCTGTCCCCGCGTGTAAACGTGGGTGCGAGGCGTGGGGCACGGGAACTGTGGTGCAGTGGCTCGAAATGTGAAAGAAACAAGTTTATTATGAATATCATTTTATATTAATCTCTCTCCGTGCCTTTCTAATTTTTCTTTTACCATGGGTAAGTGCAGCCATCCCCAAATGATCAAACTGAGCCTTAATTGTGTTACTCTCTCAAATCGTTTCATTTAAAAAAACAGAACACTAAGCATATTTCCTCCATGTTGATCGATAGGTTTCTTAGCCCGTTCAATATTTAAATACGCAAGAAAAGTCATGAAACTTGCAGAATACACATGCTTATTGGAGTATCTATGAGTATCTTCGGATAGACATCTTTCCACAGTAAGTAGTACAAAATCGCCCAGCAGCTCTGTTGTCTTAGCAGAGGGTAAACAGTCGAGGTCAACTTATCCGCTCCCTTTTAAAGAGTAAAGCTAAGATCCCGGCAGGTTACCAATAAGGGCTTAGAAAATACCACCAATGAAACCTATAGGAATTCCATGACTTCCAACAAAAGCTTCTACCGCAAGCACAATAATTAGAGAGGAGAAAGATCCCTCTGGCCATGCCACTGCCTGAGGTAATAAGTAGTGCAATGAGAGGGCACAAAACTGGCAAAGGTGAAAAAGCCAAGCGGGCAAGAGAACCTAACGAATGGCCTCCATGCCACGCCAGACCATGGTTTTCCCCCTGTACAAGTATATGTGAGTGGGGTTCGGGTATGGGCTTGGCTTGGCTTTGCCTGTGGTTTCTACGAGTTTAAGCAGAGCACAATTAGATGAGACGAGGTTGAGAAGGAGAAGTAGAAGTAGAAGGAACCGATAAGAGGCAGCACGGCAGCGGCATTAGCCCCATAAGTCAGTCACTCACACATACAGTGAGGAGAAGTGAACGTGTAATTCGAAGCGCGAGGACGACCAGGAGTAGAGGGTGGGCGCGGACACGGGCTCGGGCGCAGGCAAGGGCCTCTGCTGGCGTTCCCTAGGAAAATTGGCTGCGTCGTCGACGACTTTAGAGTGGACACAGACGGCAGCAGGTCGCAGCAGCAGAAGGCAGTGGAGCCCGAGGAAGCACAACAGAGGCACATGAAACACAATTCAAAAACACTTTGACCGGCAAAGTTGCCACACGGAATTTACTCTAGTGCAGCGTCGAGGAGCGAAAGAAAAAGCACCGAAAGGAGCAAAGTTTCGCACTTTTGTTTTGGCCAACTTTTCTTTGGGATATGTTTTAATAAACTTTCCATCGGGTTCATTAAATTTGATTCAAGTAAATGTGTTTGTCTTTCTGTGTAAACCCTGCTGCACTCCACCGCCACTCTTCCCTGCGTCCCTGGAAGAGAGTGTGCCTTAAACAAGTTGAGACAATTGCGACTGATTGATAGTCAATTAGTGGAAGTGGATGCTGATGCTGATGCCGGTCTCCTGCTCCTTATCCGCCCTCCCTGCGTCCACTGCTTCAAGTGGCAACAAGAGCAACAACTGTTTGTGCATAAATAACACAAAACAACAAGCAACAACAACCGCCAGACCCAAGTGTCATTAACCTAATTGCCGCCGCAAAAGAAGCTACAGAGGAGCCCAAGCGGAGAAGCCCAAGCCCAAAAAGGGAAAAAATCTACGGCCATAAAACAACTTGCAACGTGTTGCAATAAAAACGAATTTGCATAAAGCAGGTAAAACTCAAACCCACAAAATGGTAAAAAAAAGCGAATTCTCCCACTGCCAGTAAATATTTATTTTTTGTTGCAATTGTAAAATACACGAGAAATTCCAATGCAGTGGAAGCGAGTTGTACGAGTATCTGTTTGAATGGCTGTGTGCCCATGTGGCTTTGTGTGAGTGTGTGTGGGGCTTGGTCAAAGACACAAGAGACCTATGCCACTTAAGTCCCGGCCAGGACTTGGCCCGTCTGCAGTCTGCCGTCTGCAATTTTTCGGTTCTTGCAACTCTCGCTCTGCCTTGCTTTCGTCGAGGGCCCCTCTCCACTCGTGGCAGAGCTGGGTTGCATAAACCAGAACAGGGCAAATAATACGCGATATTTCGGCCTCTCCAGCGCAGGAGAAGGCAGTCCGATAACGCCGGCAGCGGTCCTACCCGCACCCGAAGCCCGGAGAAGTGTGAATGTTTGTAGTGTGCTCGCCAAATGGTTGAGTGGGGCTCTTTGGTCTGTTTACTGGGACAAAGGAACTGGAAGAGTGCTCGCCGGACAGGCCCATTGAATCGTGCTCTGGCGTGGAGTCGGCAGCGAGCGGAGCGGTGGGAGAGGGGACTCTGAAGGGCCTCTGGGCAATGCAGAGCATTGGACACATTGCATTGAGAGTTCCGGGCATATCGATGGCAGAGGGGCGGGCTACAGACGTGGTTAACATTTGATAGTTCTGAAAGCGACACTTGAGAGGACATACATATGTTGCACATACATACATACATACATGTGTATATATCTGTGTAGGAACAGGTGCTAGAACATGGTTATGAATGTTGCAATTTGGGCTAGCCAATTGGCCCAATTGGTGGGAGGTGATCTTAATCCAACATCAAATTTGTCAGACGTTGGCACTAAAAAATGTATACGGAAGGGGAGTTTGTCTGGCCAAGTAACTTGAGGTGTACCATACATGAACATTTCTACTTGCAGTGTCGTAGAACATCACACATCGCTGGACAAGCCACGACTGCTGGCGAGAACAAACACTTGAAGAGGAAGGAGCCTTGAGAAAGGAGCACGCGGAGACTTTCATTGCGTCGACGCGACGACGGCGTTGCTGCCCCTAGCAATTCTTTTGACCACAACAAATCTAGCACGCAAGGTGTCGTAGGAAGGGGCTTGCTCCTAGCTAGAGTCTTAAGAGAGCCTTCTCCGACGCGACTGCACCATACAGCGAACATGAACGAAGAGAACGACGATTACCTGGCCCACGAGGCCGCTGCCATGGCGGATGAGGAAAGGGATGTGGATGGTGTGGACGGGGACCTGGACGGAGATGGGGATGGGCATGGTCGCAGCGTCGCAGCTGCTAATAACGAGTCCGTGCTTGGCGGCCAAACAATGCCACAAATTAGTTCGAACGCACAGCTCGAGGGAAACGTTTCGCCAACACCGATACCGACCCAGACAACGGCGTCCCACTTTGATGATAATCTGCAGAATAATAATATTAGCAACAAGCACAGCGGCAACATTAACAACAACCACAGCAGTGGCGGCAATCACCAGCAGAACGACAGCAACCACAGCAGCCCCGTGAAGAGTCCCAAGCGCAACATCTCTTCCAGCTTCCGGATACAGAATGCCCCCTACGATGAGGATGAGGACGAGGACCTAACGGCCGGCGACTTGCAGCCAGATATCGCCGGTGCATCTGCTGCAGCAGCTGGAAGTGGTCCTGGTGCTGGTGCTGGTGCTGGTATTCGGCACGTACCCGACTACTGGCAGCCTAGGAACGGCGGCTCGGGTGGGATCCAGAGTGGTGTCCAGAGCGGCCATCAGAGTCGTGCTCTCAGCCCGAGCTACCTGGACAATATGAGTGAGACCTCGGAGCAACCGCCTGTTGTGCCTCTGGTGCGCTCCAAATCGCGGCCGGAGATTTCTAGTGCGGCGGCCTCCCGCTACTCCAATCTCTCCTACTGGAAGGCCCGGCGCGTGGTTTTCTACCGCAACGGGGACCCGTTCTTCCCCGGGGTGGAGCTGCGCTATAGACCCGGCCGCGATGTGACGTCGCTGGACAACCTGCTGGACAAGATCTCGCCCAAGATGGATCTGCCGCGAGGGGCACGCTATGTCTTCTCCATGGACGGCGACCGAAAGTATCATCTGGACGAGCTGGAGGATGGCGCCTTCTATGTGGTCTCCTCGTTCAAGGCGTTCAAGGTGAGTCTCCCCCGAGCCCCGTGACAGATTCTCATTCTCATGTTCTGCACTTTGCATTTTTCATTATTTTGAAGTTTAAGTGAAAGTTTTCACGGCAGCGTAAAATCAATAGAAATTTGAATATTTTTGTATAATTTTATATGGTTGTGCCAGTGCTGTGTGTGTAACGCTTGGCCACATACGAGTATGTATGTACATAGAGGGGTATATAAAACTATATACGAAGTTTTGGCGTTTTTCGCTGCTTCGCTTTTTGCGGTCAGCGTCCGTCCCCCTTCTTCGCCAACTCACCCACTACTCTCCCATTGCCCCACCAACCAGGGTAGCGGTAACGGTCACTTGGCCTAAAAATCCGAGGTAGTGCTTGACTTTTCTCCTTTGTTTTGGTCCGTCTTCCGTGGAGTGGGAGTTTCCAAGGGGCAGGGCAGGGGCCACACGGTTGCCACATTTTTGCATGCAAACACTTTCGCTTTCTCTCCATCCGCTTTTGTGTGCTCATTCTTGCCACACGAGCGTGTGCACTGGTGTGTGTGTGTGTGTGTGTGTGTGTGTGTGTGTGTGAGAGCCTCTCACTTACATTGTTGGGCTGGATTGTAGGATTTTAGCCCTAAAAAAGTAGCAATACCAACAATTAGCTAGAGTTCTGGCCTGAGACGGGTGCCAACGTCAACGCCAACGTCAACGCCAACGCCAACGCAGGAACTAGGTCTTACGTTGCAAAAGGAAGAGAACAGAAGAGAGAGAGAGAAAGACTGGCTACTAAGAGAGCGGGTCACTTTAAGAGAAACTGAAGAAGGCAGGGTGAATGGGAATGACTTAAGGAGTGCCGTGCCCCACCCCAACTGATAAGCACTTATCGCTGGAGTGGCTGTGTGATGGATTCATCGATACGATTTACAAAACTGATCCCTGCGCAATATCAAAATCTGTGTGTATCTATGCGTACTCTGATTCCTACGGAGAATAAGTGTCTATTGAGTTCATGTCAACCTGTCATACCTTCAGGAGTCCCGAGCTCTTTCCGGAAATAGTTTTTAAATCTCCTCGAAGCAGCTGACAAAGGAGGAATCTGCACAAATCACTCGCAGCATGCGGGCACAGCAATCAAGAGTCTGCACATCCTACATGTCCCCAGAACATCTATTGAGAAAGTTTCCACCTTCCGTTTGAGAGACGCGAATGAAATGGAATGAGACTGAGACCAGTACCAGTACCAGTACCAGTACCAGCACAAGGACAAGGAAGTTGCGTGAATTCGAGCAAGTCATAATCGATAACGACCAAAGTCAAAAGCCAGCGCCAGCTATGCGTCTAATGCAGTCTGTGAGTGAGCCAGAGTCAAAGAATGGCAGCGCTCAAGACAAGGAGGGAGCCAGCAAAAATACCCCCGTTGCCATTTCCTCCTCACGCTGGAGCTTTGAGTTCCAGCTGCAGCTGTAGCTGTAGCTTGGCTGCGGGTCCTGCGCCGACCACGGCACCGGGTACGGCCACATATTCAGCTGCAACCCAGGATAAAACCCGCCCGGCAAAGGCAATTCCGCGCCTAGCCCACGGCGGGCAAACAAAAGCACAGCATGCCACCTCCTGGCTGCCTCCGCTCTCATACGAAATCAAAACTTATGATGAAGACGACCGTCCGACCTCCTGCAGAGCCGGCGGCACTCACTCCTGCATTCCCCACGCCGCGCTTTGAGCAGTGTACAAAAGGCAACAAAGAACAATAGGGGAGCAGGAGCGCTAGAGCCAGCACATAGTACTCGTATATACACATCAAATGGGAAAATGCATAGAAAATCACCCGCCACTTCGGGCGCTCTCACGCGAAAAAGGCCAATTTGGAAACTTGTGGCGTTTGGCGTTTCACTTAGGGAAATTAAAAATGTATGCAAAAATGGAGAGAGAAAAGTACGCAGGAGTTCACCCTGAAGCGGCTTGGAGAGCTGCAAAATAATATAATTAATTTTTCGGCCCAGCCACACCAACTAAAAACTGTTTACAAAATCATGTATAATAATTTATTCATCAATCCCGGACACGCGTGACGACTCTCGCTGAGCCGGCCCGAAATTTGAATGATTTTGGGTGCAGCAAATTGCATTAACCTTGTCAAGCAGCACAAATAATTGCACTGGTAGCGCGGAACACTGAGTAGGTGGTTCGTGCCCGCAGTTTATAATCAAAGTTTTGAACTTCTGGCCATGCAAAGGTCGCAGAACAGTGGAATGCGTAGTAGACGGAGTGAACGGCGCGCCGCGGCTTAGGCGAATATCGAAACCAATCAAAAGATATAGAAAAAATGCTTATAGAAAACTAAGGAATTTAATAATGATAGGTGGGTTAGGCATACATAGATTAAAGTGAATTCATTCTAAAAGACGTGAATTTATTGGCATGGAACAAAACTATTTGCGGATTTTTGGATTTTCCAACTCTTAGGTTAATATTGTCGGTTATCCGGCATAGTTATGAGATGCTCGAATTAAAGTAAAGGAATGTCTGCCATTATTCAAATTGTTTAGTTGAATTAAAATCACTCTTGAAAATGTTGCTGTGTGAATTGCTCATTTTCCATATTTAAATAAATTGCATACTTTGATTTCTTCTATCACTCCCTAAAAGTGTTTTAATGTTGGACAATGCAATTTATAAATTTCTTTGATGACCTCAAAGGAAATTCCATTTTAATGCCGCAACTCAACCAATTTACCCTTAAAATGAGATATATGTATGTGTATCATGTAATTTAGCTGCAACTACTACGAATTGGCCGGACCTGACCGACCTGACCGACAATGCCACTGTGCCATAAATACGCCTTAAAGGTGCAGCACGCCAATTATGAATGATGGCCACCGCTGCACCCCGAAAAAATGCTGGCCAAGAAAACGGACACGCAGAGCTGTTAGCTTTCCTTTCCAGGGCTGGGTCAGAGCCACAGCCCGTAAAGAAATTAAGATTTTTGGCACAAGCGTGAGCGGCATGCCAAGAAGAGCAAGACTAAGAAGCCAGAAGAACAAAAGCACGCAAGGTCGGCAGCGCTGTAATTAACTGCATATAAAATGGCGGTCGGTCAGGCAGGGGGCTTAGAGAGAGAGGGAGAGTGACCAGATTTCACGTCAATTATTTGCCCGCTTCGTGGCTGAGCAAGCAGCCAGGGAGGCAGCAAACTTATGGCCAAACAAGCTGCAGTGACATGTGAACAAGATTAAACCCACCAGACCCATACGGTACACCCTGGTATCCACACCCGGCCACAACCAGGCCAAAACTTCAGAGCTCGCCTTTGGGCTATAAAGCGTTTGATAAATTTCGCTGCCATTTACGTGTTGCACGCGCCAGGGATGTGAAATGTGGATGGACCGACTGGGGGAGGAGAGCCACGGTTGGATAGAGGCTGTTGGGCTCAGTCTGGGCGGGCGGAAGTGCTGAGGAGGGGCAGTGCCTCTACCCTGTCTTCGTTGACTGCACCTGACGACATAAATTGCGCATTTGCGTGTTCGTGATCCTTTTCACTTACAACGCCACGACAAAATCTCAGTCGCCCCTCTGCCTTTAATCCCGCTCACCCAGATCCCGTGCCATATCGTCCTTCGAGCGCTCACTTTCACAAAAGGTGCGGGCCATGCGTATGCGTAACATACATATGTATATAATATATATATGATTCTGACATGTCTTCTTCACAGCTACGAGAACAGTTTATACCCATTGCATTTGAGTGAATATTTGCACTGATCTTACTGTTGTAGCAATAAAGAGGACTTAGTGTTGTGTTAATGGAATTTTTGCACTTGAAGAGAGCATCTGAAGAGTTCTTGGCATTGATAGAAATTGTTTATTTCAATTAGCGTCTAGTCTCAATCCCTTTTGTCCCGAAACTGTTCAACAGTGAACTTAAATTCAATTCATATCTGATATCTATCGCATATAATTATACATTCAAAAAGTAAAGAGCTCTCCTTATTGAGTTTTGGATATCTTTTATGGTATGGAGAGTGGGTTTTCGAAGGATCACTTCGACAGATTATGTTTCCTACTTAGTTAGTAGATCCGCCAACAAGAATCTAGGTGAAAGTAGTCCCAAAGTCCATCATGTTCCCTTCAGATGGCTTCCTCTTGTGTGCTGCTGCTGCAATGATTTTTTAATTGCTCGACACAAATATAAACAGAGACGGGCCATTTTTTGTGTTCGGTTGCGTTGCTCGGTTCTGACTCATTGCTGGGATATGCTCGGCATATTCGTCTCTTTCGGACCCATTGTGTGAGCTGATTTTAATGATTTTCTGACTACGTCATCAGAGCCTTGCTCGATTTACATTTTTGAGTTGTCTGCCGCTGTGGCTCTCTTCCCACTGCATTAAGTGTGCTGATTGAATTGACAGTTGGCACACGTAACTTCTGCACCGGCAGGACCTGTATCAGGAGCACTGGGAGCAAGAGGCACTGGTCACTGGATTTTTACCCATTAATTGCCGCCTTTCATCGCATTGCTGTTTCCCCTTTTTCATTTATTTTTTTTCAGTAATGTTGTTTGCCAATCAGGTCGTATGAAAGGGCGCCGAAATAATTGGTTCGGTCTGTGGCCGTCGATAGATTCGGTTTCTGAAAATTATATTACTTTAATTAAATGGCTTTCTGGCCATAAAACAATAAATAATTTGTGTCGGGACTTCGAGATAAATGGAAGTCAAGATCAGCTTCTGCACCAAATGGGTTCGAAAAGATACATACTTGTCGTTACGCCTATGTGATTTATTTTTAAATTCATAAAAGGAAAAATAAAGCCAAGAGATAAAAAATATAAGGATTGAAGGAGTAACCACATATTGAGAGTTCAGAAATATTAGTCGCATGTTTAATGCTTAATTTGAATTGTTTTAATTGTTTTTAAACGTAATTTGAGGGAAGATGGTGGTCTAAGGATGTTTATTTTTAGTAAAAGCTTAAGAAACGCTCAATCCATACAAACGGACATGATTAAATAGACCCAGATTTTTATC